GGTGGGTTTTTATGGACTTCCACAAACGGCACCCAACCGACACGAGATCTATGGACTTCCACCAACGGTGCTGCCTACACCGTCACACTTTACGGGCTCTTATACCAACGGAGTGCGTATCCGATTACCGGGTCTCTCACCTGAGGGATTGTCTAGCCCTTATTTCTAACCCCGACCCAATTCTTTTTTCATGCAACAGTGCGACTTAGTCGGATCTTTGATCCAACTTTCTCGAGCCCAGCCATCATCCGCCTATGTGGTGTTTGATGTCAACCAGGCACACACACACCCACACACATGTCCATGGATGCGGTTCCTCCGTGCAAATGCAATGTAATGCACCATTGCTAGATCAATGTTATGCCCCATATGTAATGAATGTCATATGAGCAAGTTTAACCACCTTTCTACATATTCTATGACCAATTATATCGTATGCATATAATCACCAAACTTTATCACCATGTTAATGTGTCAATAAACGTACATCAACATTTAATATCCAACAATATATCCGAAGCATGTTATTACATAATATGTACCCATAACACACTTCAATCATAAATGCATAATATAAACATATAGCATACCCACATAATATCAAATTCCATGAAATTACACAAGTAATTTCCACATTTTAATTCCAAGCTAGGAACTTTATTTCAAACCATTTCAATACCCATTTTTCATCAATTTCACAAACATGGTAAGTGTTAAGTCTCTAACAACCTACCCATCTCATATAACACCCTAGGTTAGAAAATAAACCAAAGTAGTAAGGAACCCTACCTCTTGAAGCATAAAATCAACTTAGAAGACCTTCAAGAACACCAATGGAACCTAAGCCTTGATTTCCCCCAAATCCCAGTTTTGGAGGTTTGGTAAAACCCGTCATTTTTGGTGTGGTTGCGTAGCCCTTGACGCGTAGAACAATCTTTGTTCTTGGCTTGAGTAGATTTGAGCACTCGATCTCCATAGATCGTAGAGAGAAGTGGAGAATCCAAGTTTTTCCCTTTCTTCCTCTCACACGTTAGAACCAACTAATGAATAAGGGGAGAAATTAGATTTTTCCCCTTATTTATACCCTCTATTTACTTGGGCCACAACGCGCTACAAGGCTATCTTTTTCCCGGGTCCGTTTTAGCCCCGAAACGATTAAATTTCATCCTGGTTTAAGTTCAAAATATTTTTATTTTAACTTGCCCAAAATGATTTTCCAATTTTCAAAATTTTAGTAACAATCTCGTTTTTGGGTCACCCGAGACTCGATCGCCTCGTAAAACATAAAAAATTCGACTATCTCGGAATTCGACAAACATTGACGGGGTAACTATATTTCGCAAGACGAATCCAATGGTAAGGTCTGTTTGGTCATCCGAGATCTAGAAAAATTCAAGTTTTTAACTCGTACCGTAGTGGCAAATTACTAGTTTGCTCCTTTAGTAAAAAGTTCAAATTACCCGGGTTTTACATTTGAGGAGTTTAACGTTATTTTGTTATATTTTGACTAATATTTTTAAAATAAATTATTTATTTGTTTTTCATTTTTATTCTGTTTCTGCAATATTTATGTATTAAAATAATACACCAATTTTTTTTTATTATTGCCGACATAATAGGTTGAAAGAATATTGGATGAATTTATTTTTTAATTAGTGAATATAGATAGAGTGGCTTTAGTATCTAATAGAGTGAGTACAGATGAAGTGAAATTAGTAGTTTGAAGTGTGAGAATTAAATAGGATGGAAAAAAAAATTTAAGGGGTGGAAACAGTCCCACCCAAAATTTTATTGGACCACTAAACCTATCCAGATAAGCTTTGAGGATTTTTTTTTTCAATCAAACTTAGTTTTGATCAAACATGTTAAAACTTTTTCAACTTGAAATTAACTTGCTTAAAGTCCACCTCTTGACATAAGGGAGCAATTCATGTTTTTGCCACACCAACAGTCGCGTGTAGAGAGTTCATTAGAGGATAGGATAATATCACGATGATTAATAAAAAAGACACCCATACCAAAATTACACACTCGAATAATTTTACATCCATTACTAAAACACCAAAATCCTTAAACGCGTGTTTTCCCGAAAACACAAAAGGACACTTGTGAAATCAGACAATTCGAGTCCATCTGGACTTCAAATGTCCAGACTCATTAAGATCAGGATTTATTTTGAAATTACAACTCACAAAAGCCAACCAAAGCTTAATAACATACAACGAAGGCACACCATAACAACAACAAGCTTTTAACATGAAGTACAAAAATTATAAGCTGTTGTAAATCCCCACATGTCTATACTATCAACAATCATCCTATTAGCTTCGTTCTACTTTTAACGTTTTTATTTACATCCTAAATCAAACTATAAGAATAATAAGTATAAAGGGCTAAATAATGAAAGAGAAAAAAAAATATGACATTTGCATTCTCATCAACGAGCTAGCTTAGAGGAATTGAAGAAAGATTTTTTTTCTAAATATACTAGTTCTACATTATGTTGTCATGGATGATTCTAGGAGACAGAGGGTAATTTGGTTTTGGTTAATGAATGATGCTAGACATGGATCTTTATGAAAGTTATCCTACCTATATTGGAGATGGGTACGAGATAGAATTTGTGACAAAAGACACCCAAACTCGAGTTAGACAAGTATAGAAGAACCAAGCAGTCTGGGAGACTATCTTTCACTAATTTGATCATAACTCTTTGTTGGAAAGTCCAAATTACACACCGTTATTTTTGTTAGAACCCTAACTCGTATATCTTTCCAACCATATAGGTCACACATACTAGAAATACCTGAGTCAAATCAGTTTATTCTCTGAAGTTGACCAAAAATCTGCACTATGGTGTTCCTTGGATAGTAAAGTGTAGTGCTTTCTTCTTAGACTTTGAAGGTGTAAACCCCCACATGTTTATATTAATATAGTAATTTACTTGTTTAGTGATTTGTATATATTTAATGACGTAAGAATAAACCATATATATTGAAACCATAAGAATTTTGGGATAGCCGTTAGCACATATGGTGGTTCGGAGGAATAAAATAGTAATTTTAATATTTCGAGTGTAAATTTATTTTAATTTTGAAATAAATCATAAAAATAAATGTTTTTAGGTTAAAATAACATTAAAAATGAATTCGGAACGTCGAAAAACCTTAGGGTAGTCATATGGATCAAATTAGAGATTTTTAGTGGCAAAATCGTAATTGTGGAAAAAACCCAAATTGCAGCCTGTGAACAGTAACCCGTCGGGACTGCTGTGTTTAAAACACAGATTTCAGCCCATTTGCCTCTATTTCTTTCACTCCACTCTCACCCCAAACCTCTTAGCACCCTAGGAGAAGATAGAGGAAAGGAGGAAAGGGAGAAAGGAGGTCTCTTGAGCTTGGGTTTTGGTTTGGAACTTTGATTCAAGGTAGGGGAATTCTTCCTATTCTCTTACATTGAGGTTAGGGTTAGTTTATATGTATTCTTTTGGCTTAAAAATCTTAATTACTTGTTATTATATACTTGACTCTTGGTATTCTTGCATTTATTGTCATGTTTTAAACATTTTGGTGGTTGGGTAACCATTAAAACTCATTTACTTGCTTCAAAACCTAGTTTTCAAGAAAAAGGGGGTTTTCCTTTAATTTCTCCATTATTGTTGATTCCGAAAACTCTAGTGCTTTGTGTTGAGTAATGAAATAATATTTATGATGATCTCATGCTTTTCTTTTATAATGTTCTATTGGGATTATTTGATTCTCTTGTGATTTGAGAAATACCCATGTGATTGGGGGTTTATGGAATTATTTGTATTTGAGAAAATAGTTGGTATTGTATCTCTTGTGTGGGTGTGGGGATAAACATGAGTTACTATTGACCGGGTATCATGGAGTGGGTAGACGACTTCTTACTTCGTGTGGGTTGAACTATTCCTACCACTCGTAATGGGGTTAGTGCCTTGCGAAGGCTAAACCATTATCACTCACGGGGTATCGTGGAAAAAGGGAATTGTGTGGTTTGTACGTGGGTCATGATATTTTCGACGGTGACCATGTGAAATCTTACTTCATACCTGAGATACGAATACAGAAAAATGGTTATTGTTTATTGTACCATAAATGGTTTCTACAAGAATCTTGGGAAGTATGAGATTCCGCAGGAACTTGGGAGAAACGATTTATGGTGGAATGGACTAGTTGTTGGATATTGGATTCATTTATGTCTTAAATTATTGTGGTGCTTAAACTTGAGATCTGTTTAAATGTCCTGATTTTTATTTTCAAAGTTATATATGTTATTTGTGAAATGAGACCAACCTGTTTTTATATATATATTTTTAAACCTTGTTTGAGTTGGGAGGATTTTGCTACAGAGCTTCGTGCTCATCCCCTACCGTTAAACATTTTTCAGATTTGGTGCTAGAGGAGGACCTCGGAGCTGACGAGCCGGGGCATGGGGAGGCCCCACCCGAGGGGATTCTAGATCCCGAGGTGGACATCTAGGGCTATAGTTATTTTTGTACTAGACTAAGAAATCTTATTTACGATCATAAATAGTCTAGTATTTTGTTTATTTTGCTGCTAAAGTTGAGTGTAATTCTTTTGGGATGTAACTGTCATAACTTGACTTATTCTTTTTGGGATGACATTGTGGATAGTAAATATGATGAATGAAATATTTTTATTTGATGGTTAAATGGACCCGGTGTGGTCAATGTAGTATAAATGCACAGGTTGAGTTTTTGGGTAGAGCTCCCCGTACAAAGGAGACTCTGCCCGAATTTTGTTAAATTAAGAATGTTTGTAAATCATGTATTTATTTAGTTGCTCTCATGATATGAATGGTTTTAAATGGTAATGCTGTCCAGGGTGATTTTTGGGGCGTTACAGCTGTAGTTAGTAGTGACACAATTCAACGGTATATTCAGTAAGTAGGAGTGTACATACAACTTTTAGCATACTTCACCAAATTCTCAGGTCGAGGGAGATGTGTCGCCACACCTACAAAGCATTTATGTAATGTGGCAAACATAAATTCATGTCTTGGCAAGTAACTTTGAACAAAAATAGGGAAAAGAAAATGTACTCACCAAGTTCAAATGCTTTAGTAGCTACCTTAGCAGCAATGTGAGCAGAGATCTTTCTGATATTAGTGAATGGAGGGTAAATCATGCCCTTAGCTAAATGCTCCTTCGTTACTTGACCAACCAAAGCTTCCACTCTTTCAATGGAGACATCTAGAAAATTAATATCGAGAGAATTCTGTTGTTTGCTTTACTGCAATGACAACCTAACATTGTGTTGCCTTTAAAGTCATTGTAATCTGAAAGACATATCGTAACATTTTCATTTTTCATCACACAATAGTTTACATGTCTAGAGTGTAGAGATCTGAAAAAAGTGAGGATAAATTTTTTAGTTTTACCGGTAGGGCACTATTTATGCACCATTTGCCGGTAGGGTATTACATATGAATCATAAGTCATGTTTAGAAGATAAACATGCTTATAATGTTAAAATACACCTACTATGCAAATTTGAGCCTAAACGAAAATAGTTGTAAAAATTAGACAAAAAAGGTATCTCGGGAGGCCTAGGTGGGACCGGCCAAACCAAGCCACTAGCGAAAATCTATATTTTTGAAAACATTCATTTAAAATAATTTTAAGAATTTTGGTCAAAATAAAATGTCGAATTGAGGCGTTTTGGGACGAGTTGTAGTGTAACAGGGTCCCGAATTCATCAAGGGCAAAGATGTCAAGTATTCTATTTTTGTCATTCACTTGAATCGGAGCACCTAAATTTGTAGACAATATCAGTATGCAATAGTAAATTCAACACTATTCTTCATTATATACTTACACGCTACAAGAAGCATTTCATCATGGACCCGAATCGCATCAGAGATGACCAAGCCAAAGCCAAACACAGGGAAAATATGCTATAATAACATAACCATAAGTGTGTATATGGTGCTAAGCCAACACCTGTTTTGACATCTCAAGAGCTATAAGCTCTACTATACCAGTCCCAACCTACAATTACAAGATGACAATCGTGAGACAAATCAATTGTGATCTTATTTTGACAGTTAGATACCATATGTCACCAATTTAAGGGCTTGGAAGGCGATAGAAAAAACCAGGAAAATTGAACATGTCCATCAAGAAATTACAAGAGGTTTAGTTGAAGATGTGGTAAGACCAATGCTTGGTTGTTTCCATTGTAGTATATCCTAACCTCCGAACATCATCCTTCAATGTGTATAATCTATGTGTGAAGGGGAGTGTCACTCCCCCTTGGAATGATGTCAAAAGAAAGGGCAACGGAATGGTGGGTGAATGAAATGTATGAAATGTGTGTGTGTGAACAAAAATGCTCCCCAAGTGCATAGAGACTTTTGCTTATCGTGTTTTACTTGGAATTGTATTTGAAGGTCGTCTCCTCGGGGAAGGAGGTGTATCATCATGAAGGTGATTTTTGTAAAAATAAAGCGAAAAATCTTTTGTTGGTTGAAGGTTGGTTTGTGATTGTAATGAAAATGAAATAGAACAAATGTTGGTTAATCCAAAGGGTTCACTCTAATGGGAATACCAAGTCAACTCGAATCCTTCCCCCAATAGAGCATAGATGTACGATTGATTCGTGGGAAGTTAGGGATGAGATGGAACTGAGGATCCAAGTATAACCCGTGACAAGTCTACAGGATATCAAAGACTCACAATCCCGTCCACCCTCTACCTAGTCAAACTGAACCATCGTACTCTGAGAGGAGGAAGAAAAATGAGTTGAAATGGCATACCCAAGAGGAGGTCTCCCTTGGATTAGCCAACTTAAAGGCTTAGCTACTCATGCTTAATGTAAAGACAACAATGTAATGAGAATACATTATGAAGAAATGAAAATTGGAGCTAAGCTAATGCAAAGAAACATAAACTAAGAGAGAAAACATTTAATACCCACTTTAAAACATTTAATACCCACGAAATGCACAAATATAACTTTGGATGATTTATACGTGTCCATCACCTCTTTCTAAAGAGTGAATGAGAAATTACTCACTCTTCATGGCTTTGGTAAAGTTAGAAAAGTGAGTGATGCTCATCCCTCCAGCTAGAGGAATTACAAGGTAAAACATATTACACAATGACCTATCTTCGACAAAGAATGAGTGAATCACGTTCCACCCTTCACGGCTTTGGTAAGCTCTAGAAAAGTGGAAGAGTTTCACTTCTCTAAGGGAAGAAGGAAGCTCAAACAATGGAAGTAAAAGAAAGCAATAATACAATAAAAGAAAACAATACTTAAATTAAAAGAAGCAATAAATTAAAAGAAAGTAATAATACAATAAAAGAAAGTAATACTTAAAGAAAGCAATAATACTTTTGGAGGTTTTTTTTATTACCAAAAGATGAATGTTTTGAAGTCCTAAGGGGTGGTATTTATAGGTAACAAGGGAGGATGAAAGTCTTGTTTGACTGTTTTGAATTACACTTTGATCCCCCTTTGTATTGAGCTTTGATAATTTGTATCCAATAGTTTGTAGTTTTG